AAGTGATCCAGCTCCAACTTTATTGGGGTAAAACTAGGACTATTTATAGTGTAGAGACAGCAGAAGAAGTCTTAGCTGATAGGTACTTTTAGGATGCCTCATTTACATAGGGCGGTGGGCTTCTATCAGGCTATCAGACAATGCCTGATTAAAACCTGGTAGCTCCTGTGCCGGAGGGCATGTATTTGTGGCGAGCACTTTAAAAGAAGAGTCAGGGAGGATGCCAGGAAGGCACTCTGCTATGGAAGGAATCTGCAGCACATAGTTTCCGAGCTCGTGAGCTATCCGGACGTGAAGAGACTTCTACTTGCATAACAGAGGACCCCAACAATTAGGGTTTGGAGTCTCAGGAAAAGAAGGGACAAAGAGGGGAACACACTGTGATCAGACTTTGCATACATAGCAGCAACACATGTATGCATGTAGGGGATTGTCATCACCCTCTAGGAGATGCCACCCACCCAGAGGACCCCAGACGACCAGGGAGGCAGGCTTTGTACAAGGAGGCCAAGCCGGCAGGCCAGGCAGGCAGCCTTCCTGAAGGTGGGACTAGGTGTATGCTGCTGGACATGACTAATCCACCCTGAGGGACAGGCCCAGGGCTCTGAGAATTCCATAACTTGATGGAGTCCTGTCCCTTTCATAGAAGATAATGGACTTAAGCTATACCTTGCTGGGAAGGAATCTGGAACTGAAGACCGTTTTATTAAGATTCCATGCCCAATGGTTAGGCAGGACCTGTTTTAGAGTCTTCACTGTCAGAGGAGCTGGACTCGCTGGTGCTCTCCGACTCAGAAGATGAGAAGCCCTTTATCTTGGAGGAACCAGCAATCACATCAACTTTTTCAGCTTGAGGTTTTCTTTTCTTCCGCAAACAGGAGGTGACGTAGCGCTCTAACTCTCGCAGTGTGGATGGTTTCAGGGTCTCAAAGTCAATCTCAATCTCATCAGGGTTGGAGTTCTTGAGAGAGGGTTCCCTTGACTGGATAATGTGCACTACACGGCCCAGCTTCTCACCGGGGAGCTTGTTGATGTCCAAGCTTAGCTGCCTCTTCTCATAGGACATGGGTTTGCACTTGTCCTCTTC